TGCCGTTGGCCGCCTTGGCCAGGTGGGCACACTGCTGGCTCATTTTCAAATGTATATTTCTTCCAGCTGCATAACAGGGGAGAGGCTGGAGGACTTTTGGGAGGTGGATAGTGTTTCTGACACAGTGTTCCCCTCCTGTGGGGCCTTATAATATGCCGATTAAAAAAAAAGCTACACAACACTGTCCTCAAGAGAATTGCCAAATCCTTTTCTCTGCTGCGAGGGACAGGTCTGCCTCAGCCCCATGCCTTTTGGGGGAGGAAATCCAAGCAAGGTGATCTCCTGGGAGCCCCCTCCCAGATCAGATTTATAAAAGATGCAATAAGAATGTCTCAGTATCTTACGTAAATTAACATCTTCTGCATTCACTGGCAGCTAGGGCAGACCAGTCATGAAACAGCATGACATTAGGGAGAGAGAAAGGTGGCTGTTGATGTGCTCTGCTACATGGAAGCCCTGAGAAGTTACATGAATCCCTTTCTTCTCTCCCCAGAAGCTGGATAAACTAATTCAGTATTTTAGAGAAGTCTCTCTAGAGCGATATGCTTTGAGTGCTGTCCATTTCTTTAGTATATTTGCTTGGGAGGCATTGTTACCACAGTGCTTTAAGTGAATTGCCATATGTCAGTGTTTTAGCTCTGGATCCAGCACTGATCAGGTCTCGGCAGCAAGGCTACCGTGATTCTAATATTCTTCTCTTTCCTCAATGGACTGTGCTTTCTTGGGAGACTATTTGGGGATATTATGGACAATAAACAAGAGAAACAGACCTCACACACCATATTGGGCACTTGGGATATTTTGTTTTATGAGGTGATGAGTGTAACCAGATGACTGGAGTGAAAACAGCTGCTTGCCAGGCCTGTGGTTAAGCCACTTCTGGCACGTTATTAGGAATACTGTGTTTTATGGGGCTGGAGATCACAACCCTGGAAAATACTGGTAGAGCAGGGAGAGTACTGAGCTTGAGAAGCCATTTTTAATGCATAGTAGTGGCTTGTTTCTCTGACTCTGTTGTCAGAAGACCACTGTTTTGAAGTCACAGGATCATGTGGCTAAGCATAGTATGACAGATCAGTCAATCCTTTCCATCAGATGGGAGAGATGGATATTAGTGAAGCTTTCTATATGGAGGCCTTTTCCTGTAGACCCCAGATTTGGTCTGGTACAGCATTTTCCACCATCATTTGGAAAGTCATGCAAAGGGACATGGTTAGGAGAATCCTAAAATAAAGTGGGGAGGGCAGCAATTTGGAGAAACATGCACATGTTGATCTTTCCATCAAGACAAGGAAGATTCAGAGCAGAAGGCCTATCCAGGTGTGATTATTTCCTTATCTGAATCAGCTATGTTTGTTAAATTGGGCTGTGCCTGGTTTGTGCTAGTATTTAACTGGATACTACACTGGAAGTTTTAAAATCTTAGATTTTGTCATCCCAGTGGATCTGGTTCTCCTGCTTAGAGGAGAACACCCACTGAAGTCAGGAGAGCTGTTGCCATATGTGTTTTTACTGCTGGGGTAGATTAGTTAAAATTGGGGGATTTGAAATGGACTGAAAGTGCTGTGTAAACATTTGTACTCAGTTCTGAGGCTTTGTAGCAAGTCTGTCGTATTTTCTTTCTTCATAGTTTTAACCCTAGTCACTGTGCTTACAGCTACAGCTTGAAATCAGAAGTGGTGAAAGCTCAGCATGAAATTATAAATATTTAGGACTGAGAAGAACCAACAGAAGAAGGTGTGTTTGTTAAAAGCATTTGAAGAACTTCAGATATGTCCATGTGGTTTAGTAATCTCCTGATACTTACCACCAGGGCCTCAGCCATCAGCAGGCTCTTATCAAATGACGATAAATTATTCTCAAAACAAAGTTTCTACAGTATCAGATTCTCTGCTTTAATATTTGTTGCCTCTGAAGATTTTCCCTACCTGGGTTAGGAAAGCACTGTACTAACAACCAGGCTGCTGATGGGGCAAGTCAAGTGACCTGCCCTATTGCAAGCTGCAAAACCATTAGTATCTGGGACTCGTCAGTAGCAGTATGTCAGCGTAAATGGATATGCTTAGAAAGTAAGTTAATGCACAGGAGTGAAGGTTGTGTGTGGCTTAGAGGCTCCTGCACAGTGTATATGCCACAGTTTAGGGGACAGGGACTGTAACAACTCAAAGAAAGTGACTGTAAGGCTTTAACAGGCAGAAGGGCTGCTCTTGTCCCAGGGGAGGGAGGAGATGTGGACAGGAGGACACCAGGGCCTTCCCTTGCTTGTGCCAGTCACTGATGACCAGAGGCCAGTGTTGCAGCTGGGTGCACAGCTGGCAGCTAGCTACTGCTTGGTAGATACATTGGGACAACATCAGGGCAGATAACTAGATATGCACAAGTTGCAGACACAGGGAAGAATCTGATCAGCATCTGTTGAGATGTTACAAATTTGTACCCAAAGCGAAGCAGAGCTACATGAACTGCATGTGCATGGTTCTTTTCCTTAGCTACTGGTTACCAGAATATTATTCCTGTATTTTATGATACTTTGAATGTTATATTTTCTAGCAGCTGTAGGGAAGTAGTCCCAGCAAAGGCATGATATTGGAAAGCTATTAACAACTGATACCTCTGCTTTCTCCAGAATAATTCTGTAACTGCTCCAAAACCCACCCAGGCCTCTGAGGCCAGGCTGTGAATACCTACCTGAATGACATCTTGTTCTGTGGCAGGGTAAGCCTGTATGAGGGACAGCACTACTGACCTCTAAATGTTCTTAAAGTTTGTAGTTCTATCATTTCTTGCTTTGAGTGTCAAACTCACTGCACAAAGAGGAGGCCATGTCCAACAACACATCTTTAAAACTGGCTGAGTGAAAAAAATACACCTTTTTAGAAAAGGCTGAAAATCCTGTCACAAAAGTACTTGAACTATCCGACATGCTATGTTGCAGATCTCACATTTTTTTGTCCATTTTCCCTGTAAAATGTAGCTCCCAGAGTTCTGTGGTTATAAACAGGTCTCAGATCAACATTTTAAAGAAGTTGTCTGTCCTCCTGGTTCAATGACAAAGCTTGACCCTTGGGGGGTTTATTTGTCTCTTTGTTCCTGACTAGATTTAAAAGCACATGGGACTGAAAACAGAATGACCACATGTTGCAACTTGGAGGTTCAGACTGCGATTAGAAAAACTTTTTCACAAGGAGGGTGGTGCAGCCCTTGGACAAGTCAACACAGAGATTGTGGAACCTGCATCATTGGAGACTATCCTGAGTTTTGGGGTCTGATTCTTTTGGAGTCTTGAATTTGACAATACTTTAAATGCAAACTCACTTCAATCTTTCTCAATCTGTTTTTTATCTAAAGCAATTACAAACAAAACAACAGATAACTCCTTTAGTCATGTGTGTTGCTTGTCTTCTTAAAACTGACAGAATTCTGTTTCATTTTGTGCTTGACATGTCAACAGGAACGGAGGGTCACTGGTCTGCAGCCAGGTCTGTCACAAGGAGCAGTGCCTGCAATTGTCTATAGCTCTTTGGGCTTCTTGTTGTTCTGAGAACTAAGCCTTTATCCTTCCTTCCTCATATTTGTTGCATAGCTGAAGAGTCTAAGTTAAAAAAGACTCCTTCCACAACCAAGATAGGTATAAGAGAAGAGCCCTTGTTTTTAGAAGCCATCTCAGCAGCTCACTGGAGTTGCTTCTTTCACTGTTGGCTCAGAAGGAAGCAGGTTCAGGAACCTCAGCCAAGCTGCTGAAGTTTGGTAGGATAAAGCCAGACCAGCAGGTTTGTGAGCCTGACTCTATGTGTATTTGGACGTACACTGTTTGTTAAGTGAAACATCAGACCTGCTTGACTAAGTGCAACTATTGAGTCTACGCTTCTCTCACCTCCTCAGAACTGGAGAAGTGGAGAGTCCTTGTGCTAGTATTATACTTGCTTTAGTGGAACAGGTAGGTTTAGTCTGATTTCTCTTGAAGCAAAGCTCTACTCTTGTAAGCCGTATATATGAAAAAGCTGATTTTTCTTACATATGTGATCTTGGAGTGGCTGTTAGAGTCAAAGGATGATATGTCATCTCAGTTGTGAGATCATCACATAATCTTGTGATGACTGACTGCTCATTGTGAAATTTTCCCAAGTCATCTTTGTTAATACAGTAGCACAGACCCAAGAAATAATGCAGTTGTCTCTCAAGGTTTTAAGGTGAGGTATTTCAGCTGATTTGAGTCATCTTGGAGTTGAGCAAAACATTTGGTGGCAAACATTTCTGTACCAATATTCAATTGTTCTTTGGGTTTGAGGCACATTCTTCATTTTCCCATAACACTTTGATTGTGATTTGCAGAAAAACTCCTGCATATTGCCAGAGGATTTAAAGAACTTCTATCTGATGACCGATGGTTTCCAGATGACCTGGAGTGTGAAGACCGATGGTGAGTCCATGTGTTCCACTCCACCAGTACCCTCATATCATTGCAACCAGTCTTTCCTATGCTGAATCTCTTTAATTTCAAACTTACTTTCTGCACAGTCAATATACATTTGTCAGCATCCTGCATTAGTCTGAGCAAAAGCACATGCACTGAGTCATTTTGAATGAAAAATCAGCACCATTCCTTACCTTGCAAAAAAATGAAGTAGTTTGTTTCTGCTAAGCAGCTCGATCAATGACTACAGAAAACTGACCTCTGAATTAGTAAGTGAGTGCAGTTCTGCATGGGATCATAGACTATTTTAGAGATGTCCTAGTGAGGAAAAAAATATGACTGCACATCAGAGGTCCCTTCCTGATGCAACAGGGCAAAGCCTATTGCTTGCACATGCTGGACTTCCACAGAAGAGACATGTACACTGAACACTGGCTAGAAACCAAACAAGTCTTCATGACATCAGTACCATTCTGTAATACACTGGCCATCTGTTGACACTCAGATTTAGGTATGTAGTTTAAATCTCACACCTGGACTCCCTCTGTCGTTCATGGAGAGAGAAGCAGCTCTAGCACATTATCCTGTCATAAAAGCAGTAGGAAGAGTCACCCTCTGATAAATGCCTCTCTCTCACTAAAAAGTGTATGTACGTGCCAGAGCCTGATTCTGCTTTCCACCAGCTAAAGTCCGTACATTGGAGTTATTTCTGGAGTCAGTGGTGGCAGTGAGAACAGGATCAAGTTTTAATGTCCATCCTTGTTTGGCAAGAATCAGGCAGCTCATTCAGTCTGCACTGGAGCCCTGCAGCTACTATCCTGGCTCTTGTTGCCTTCAAGTGAGGTTGTCAAATTGGGCTGTGGACGCTGCTTGCTTCTGGAGATGGATGTCAAATACAGGGTTTTCCTCAGGAAGTGGAATTTCATTTTAGAGACAGTTGACATCAGGGCTCTAACACCTGCACTGAGTCCCTTCATGTTTCAAGTGGGATTTAATGTGTTGTGACCTCTGAAAAGCCTTGTTTTCAGGGCACACAAGTGCACAGAGATCAAGGCAGCTCACATAACTGTTGTGTTTGAGCAAGCATCCAGTAGTGCCTTCTGAGGCCCTTCACACCGGCATGTGGCTGAACAGGGTGCTTGTTGACTTGTTGTCTGATATCAGTACTAGTCCTCGGAGAGTCAAGTCACAAGTCCTCAAGCATTCATTCAGGAACACCCACATGTTGACACACTGATAAAATCCTGTGTTGGAGTGGGTACCAAGAGGATGCGCCCCGAGCAGGTACATGGGGTGGAAGAGGACAAGCTGCCCAATAAGCTGTGAATGGGTGGGGTGGTTTCTGGTAGGAAGGACAGCAGCAGGGAAAAGAGTTTTGAGGAGGTGGCTGTAGCTAGCTAGGATTTTTAATAGCCAGTTTCACAGGACTGGGCTAATAGCTGCAGCACAGACTTAGCCAGCAGTGTAATTCTCACACTTGCACAGCTCTGAGATGGTGTCACATCACCTGTAAGTGTGATTCTATGCTTGAAAAAGTCTAATTTTTCCTCCTGTGGAGCCTGACTTGGTTAAGTGTCCAGGCCTGCTGTGTATACCCATGTCTTCTCCCCTTCTGTGTTTTAGAAGAGGTTGAATTGATGTGTGGAGGAAAAGAAATACCTCCTATGCTTTCCTGATGCTGGATGTGATTAATGATCAGTCTTATTGCAGATACTCCGATGCCCCTGGGCTCCATGGTAATTAATAGTGTCTCGAAGCTATGTCGGCTTGGAGGTTCCTCTATGTACACTCTGCCTAATGCACCAACTCTCGCTGACCTGGAAGATGACACAGATGAGGAAGGTAAGGTCCTGTTAACAGGCTAGAAAATGTGCTCTGTCTCATCCCTTTTGCTCTGTTAGGATAATGTTAGGATATAGCACTTGGATATAGCAACAGAAAAGGTCACTCCCGGTAGATGGTGTTTTCTTTGTCTCCTGGGCCGGATCTAATATATGTCCTATTAGTCCCCTACAGCCTTGAGAGGTAGACCTGTATGCTGTGAATCTCATGGGGATTGTTAATGCTGCCAGTCACTAGTATTATTTGCATACTCTTTTAACAGCCTGGCAGCCCTCCTGTTCTGCCTTTTCCCTATTTAAATTTTTAACTGAGGCTTCCTCCAGTGATTCGGCTTCTGAATTCTTTTGTGTGCTTAGGGTGTTACATGAACAGAAGATAAGTTTTTGTCTTGGTAGTGAATAGAGCTGGATATGCTCTTTGGAATTAGAAAAATAACTCTGGTAAATACATGTAAGTGTGAGGTAGCGCTGGAAAGTGTGTTTCCAGACTGCCTAGAAATGCTAACCATCCTGCAGTTTAGAGAGAAAAAGAAGAAAAAAGCTTTCTCTCAGAGCTCTTACAGTCTAACAAGACTAGAAGAAGTAAGAAGATAAGAACAGAGTCAGGTGTCATGCTGACTCCTTAAAAAATTACTATTTGATTTCAGTCTTATCTCTGAATCTCTATAGCTCTTGTAGCTTCTAAATGTGGTTGAAAGTTTCTTTTCGCACATTCCAGCTTGGCTGCAGTCCTAATATTCTAGCCATTGTAACGAAATGGGCCAAATTCTGCTTATATTTAGCCACTCTGACCTCCACTGATGCACTTACAAGGTACACTCAGAGAAAGTTACATCCCTACCAGTGTTCTCGTCCTGACTTTCATGGAAAGCTCTTTGGAAGAGTACAGCTCTTGTGTCCCCTTTCTTCCTCAGCAGCATTAGAATTCAAATATTCTGCAAGAACTTGCAGGTACATGATCCTAAAATGGTCCTGTAGAAAGGCTATGTGGTGGTTGTGGGTCAGAAGTTGGATATGAATCAGAATGCATGGCTGTTGAGAAGGACGCTGATGTCACAGTGGAAAGTATGAAGAAATGTACACGTCTCCAAATTCATCAAAGTGTTCTGTCAAGAGAAAAAGAATACACTGTTCTTCCTGTCCTCCTTAGAAAAAAGAGAAAGTAGGGCAAAAAAGAGATAGTGGGTAGAACAGAAGTAATGGACTTCAATTGCAGCAAGGAAGATTCAGGATCCACATGAAGAAAACTTCTAAGTGATAATGATGGATTTGGGTTGACTGCCTGGAGATTGTGGCATCTCCAACACTGGAGGACTTTAAAAAAAGGTTAGACAAACACCTCTCAGGAGTGACATCTGTAAAGCTGATCCTGCTTTATGCCAGGGAAGGACTAGAGGGCAGCTTGATGTCTTTTTTCAGCCATCAGGTTTTGACTCTGTGGTTTGTTTTCTTGCTGGAGATTAAAATTTTTCTCACTTTTTTTTTTTTAACACAGGGAACTTAATCCTTTCCAAGAAATATAAAATTAATATTTTGATTTAGTTCTTCCTCAGCTGATTTATTTATAAGTATCAAATAGATTAATTCTTTTCAGCTGAGTCACAGTCAGTTTTCCAAACATGTTTTATGAAGACTTTTTTCTGTTTTCAGGTAATGGAGACAAACCAGAGAAGCCACACTTTGATTCTCGTAGTCTTATCTTTGAATTAGACCCGTGCAATGGGAATGGGAAAGTTTGTCTTGTTTATAAGCATGCTAAACCAGGTAAGAGTGAAAAGAGCAAAGTTAGCCATCTCTTATTGTGGATTGTACCTGGAGGCCACATATGTAGAATCATCTTAAACTTCTGATCTTCTTTGCAATTTGTAGATGAACTGGGACATGCTGTCTCCACTGAAGTCAGGGACTAAACCTTACAGAGGCTTAACTGGAGCTAACATTTTCCCTCATTTTAATGTTTGAGTGTGAGTTATAACTTTCTGCATACATAGCATACTTGCATACTAAAACAGGAAAGCATTCACATATGACCTACAGACGATCATGTTGAAATAATGCAGAAGGCTAGAGCTCAGCCACTAACATACCTCTGGTTACTTGCATGTCTTAGAACAATTCCCTTACGTTTTGATGGGAAAGGATGTAACGCTGCTTAGAAGCAAAGGGCAGATGGTAAAAAAGATCCTTAGCTGATTGAGGCAGACTTAGACTGGTTCTTCCACCTTGTGCATGGATGCAGAGCCTCCAGGTGCTAACTAGGTCAAAATGTGGCAGGAAGGATTGACCAGGAGAGTGAAAGACATGAGCTGAGCTGTTCCTTCTGATAGACACACAGAAAGCTGTTATCAGTCAGGATTACTGAAATACCCGAGTCACTTGTACATTAGTTGTTGTCTGACACAGTGCACAGGTCACTAGGTGTATGTGTATACCATATGTTCACTGTGTGGGGGTGTGCAATTGTGATATACCTGTCCTTAAGAAAGCCCTTTGGTTGTTATCTTGTGTCTTTCGTTGGGTGTGACTACAGCTCCCAAGGCAGAAACTTCTTACCTGTCCTCTTGCCTCCCACTCTTAGTGATTTCAGCAAATGCAGTGGATAACCTGGGCAAGGGGAGGGAGCATTGTTTACAGGTGTTAATGTCAGCACAGGGGACAGGCAGTGTGCTTAATTGACTGTGTTCAGCTCTCAGTTTCCCAAGTAAAATCACTTCTTTTCATGCTCCAAAGGATGTCACCAGCAGAGAAATATTTGATCACTGTGGAAATATTTTGCAAAATGTGTTTTTGTTGGCAGCACACACTCCCATGACTTCCAGACTCTGGACTCTATTCAGTAATCCAGATGACTGACAATTGAGTTAGTTGCTTTTTACTTTGTGGGGTAGATAAATGTTTGCCATAATTGGACTTTGAACTTACACTACAAAATTGCTGATGTCCAAGCACGTTCCATGTAGAACATCAGTCCCAGGCTGGGAAAGAATAGCATTGCATCCATTTTACAGTGGGGAAAATGAATATAATGGCTACTGCACACATATTTTTAGTAAGGCTGAGACCAGAACCAAGTCCTTTTCAGTCCCCATCCCACAGTGCCTCTGGATAATCATCTGTTAGTCGGTGATGCTGCGTTTTAGAAGCTGCAGCCTTTCTGATAAGTATGTTGTGTCTCCCACCTGACAATGGCCAGGGGTTGATCTTATCACTGCAAAGCAACAGTGTAATTTGTGTTTGTTTTGTTCTAGTTGTCTCAACAGACACAGAGATATGGTTTCTGGACAGAGCTCTGTATTGGCATTTCCTCACCAAAACCTTCACAGCCTACTACCGCCTGCTCATTACCCACCTGGGTCTCCCACAGTGGCAGTACGCCTTCACCAGCTATGGGGTCAGCCCCCAGGTCAAGGTAGGACAGCAGGATCCAGCTCATCAGTATTTTGCATAAGTATAGACTGGAAAAACATCCTTCCACCTTTTGACAAGTGGGCCTCGAGTGAGCCAGGGAAGGGGCCATGAGTCTTTCCCCTATAGCGTGTTAACAGTCATTTGTTTGTGTTAGTGAATTCACTAACATTGTGTTAACACTTCTTTTCTCACCCGAGCTGGGTTCTGCCTTTGACCTCTAACAGCAGGTGGTGGAACCCCAATTATTTCTCTGCTTTCTTGACTCTGAAGCCAACCTCCACTTCTGTGACTGCTGGCAAGTGAGGAGATATAAAGCCATTCATCCCTACAGCTATGAAAGGTTTGTCTAGATAGTTTTCTGGGCGTAGCACCGAACAAGAGCCTACTGCTCTCTGGGTGGAGAGGGAAGTCCAGGTACATATTAGACAGAAGCCCAGAGGAAAATTATGAGCTTGAGCCTTGCCAAGAATATTAATTCCTTTGCATCCTCCTCAGTCATGAAGGGATGCCTTGATAAAAATGATGCTCAAAAAGGGGCAATTTAAATGCCAGCAGTCCTAGAAGTAGTTACAGGAGAGCTCCAGCTACAGCCTTGTGACCATTCCAGCCCCTTATTATTAAAATTGCTATTCTGCTCTGCTGGAACCCTGCTATTAGAGGCTCCTGCTATTCCTCTGTGCTTGACTGGGCCTTCAGCCCTAACCCTGCTTCCACCTTGTGAGAGGTCGGGGAATGGATCTGACAGTACTACCGAACACAGCACATAAGCCTGTGCAATGTCTTTGCATGCTGGCAAGGCCTGGCGGGTCTCAGTGAGTGTCCTGCACTTCACCCAGACATGACAGCTGTCTTACCAGCATGACATTCCTTGGTCCTGCCTCAGCCCTGTGTGTACATCAGAACTACTCACTAAAATCACTGCCAACTTCCTGTCTATCAATGGCTGTAGAATTTGACTCTTTGTATTTCCGGTGTCTTCCCTGTAACACTGTGCTGTACTTTATCAGTCAAGGCTGTGTACATGGTACTCTAGCATATGCCTGTGCTCTGCCTTTCTGTAACTTTCCTGCTAGAATATTTTATTGTGTTCTGTATATTCACAAACCTTAGTGAAATCATTCATGTATTCCCTAATCATTTCCAGCCTCTGTTAGTTAAAATCCTCCTAGTGTGTTAACCATTATCATTTTTAAAGGTCTTCAAGGGTGGTAAATAAAGCTGTTTTCCATTAAGCAGGACATGAATAGATTGCCATCTACATTTTAGTATTGATCTTTTGTTTATCTTGTTCAACACTTTTCTGATGGTTTCTGCGGGATTTGTAATACCATAACCCCTACAGTTTTATTTCCTGACCTCGTCAATGGAAAACTGATAGGAAAAACAGTAAGAGAACTGCAGGGCATAACACTGTGGTGGCATCTGGGTACCAAAACAAAATCGTAGTCACTTCTAGGTGTAAAATCAGGCCAAAGAGAAACAAACACAAAATCCTTTGTGTAAAGAGTTAAAAACCCTACATTATTGTACGTGTGAAGAGAGCAAGGGAGGCTGTATTTTGAGACGGTCAACTAGTTTGGTTCCAATTTATAAGCACTTTTAAATTCCAAGGTTTTTTAATCTTTTCTGCTTCTCTGAATCTAAATAAAAGTGGTTTAGTTTCATCTCTCCCTTTGCTTCTCCTCCTGTGGTTTAGAGTTGCTCCTGATAGGAGTTACACTGCAGGAAAGGTAGTGTTAAGTTTGTGTCTGGTTCTCCTCTTCCCTGTCTGGAATGTGGGGCAGTTCCAGGGCTGTAGCTGTAGCGTGCCTTGTGTATCCTTATCACAAGGCACTCTGCATGGTCCTGTAAACTGCAAGCTGATAAGTGGTGCATGATTAAAATCAGATCTCAGGGGTGAAGGGGAGCAGGGTGGAAATGTCTAATTGCAGTTTGATTTTAACCTTTTCCTTCCCCACCATCCTGCCTTTCAGCAATGGTTTAACATGTATAAACCCATAACCATCAACACAGCTCTCCTCTCTGAAGAAGCTGATTCCTTTGTGAACAAGCTGGACCCCAATAAGGTATTTAAAAGCAAGAACAAAACTCCAGTGATCAAAAAGAAACCACTGTCCCAGCCAGCAGGCTCCCAAAAGAGTCACACAAGCGTGACCTCCTCCAAGACATCCTCACTAGCTGGGAATTCTTCAAGGAAGTGAGATTCCCCCACATCTGACCCTGGACAGCATTTGCAATAAGCTTTGATGTTCTCTGACGCAGAGTCTCAGTGGTTCAGACCAAGTTCCTTGTGCATGAATAGATGTGCCCATGGAAAACACATTGCAGCATTTGCATGAAATATAGCCACGATGTGCTTTGACATGGAAGGGATGTCGTTCCTGGAGACTCTGAGAAAAAAACTTGAGACATTGATTTTATTCCCTTCTGCTGCTTGCAGCGTGTACTTTTCAGAGGGCATGAAGAAGCCCTTGATGTCACTGCTCTGTAGGGAAGCTTTTGTTCCTGTGCAACTACAGCAGTGAAATGAAAGCAAATGTAAGTCACCATTACTTTAATAGACCCGTACTGAAATACAGCGTATGAAGATATTTTTGCCATCTCCTTTGAAAGAAACCTGTCCTGACCTTGCATGCTATTGGAGCAGGTTGGAACCCACTGAACAGAGAGATATCTTCTGCTTCGGACAGAATCAAGCTCCTCATTTTGCTGTGCTCCTTCCAACTTCTGCTCTGAGATTCATGGTACAAAGGGACCCGGGGCTTCAGTGTCTCTGCATTGGCCTAGCCGTTTGCTCTACAGCCCAGACCACTTTCTGGCCTTTGTGCCGTATCTTTTCCGATAGTGACGTCTGTGTGATGTCCTTCCCGATAAGCCTGAAGGCAGCCAGAAGCTGCAAGATCCCTCATTGCCTCTGCTTTCTCCTCTTGTGGGAACTGCTGAGCCAGGGTGGGTCAGTGGTGTTAAGGGTAGGAGTCCCATAAGCCAGGAGGACCCCTTGGTTTGCCACACGTTCATTTGCAAAGTTGACCATTCAAACAGCCTTTGTCACTTTTCAACTGGGCAGGATCTGATCAGGGGCCACTCAGATCCTACAGCCTTAGAAACCCCTGATGCTGTTTTCTATACTGTAAGTTTTCAGGTTAGAACTGCACTTTAACACATTCACCGCTGGTTTTCAGTTACATCTGATTGTTTCCATTACATTTCTATGCTGTTCTGTCTCCTTACATATCCTGGAATCACGTGGTAGCAACCAACACATCTTGCGCCTAAGCAGGGAAATCAAAGTCTCCACCTTCAAATAAGCATTGATTATTTAAACAGCATTATCTTTTATTTATGAAACAGTCACATAATTACATAGGACAAACCTACCTCACAGGGATGTTGTGAGGCTTTCATGAGTATTTGTATGGCCTTCAGAAAGATGAAGCCACCCTGTTAAGTGCTTAATAGCACTATAATAAAGATTTTAATATTTTCCTCCAGAGTGATTGGGTATTTGAAGATGCTTTTAGGGACATGTACACAAGGATGTACGGTAAGAGCAGGGTGCAGGCGGGATTTGGGTTTTTTTTTTTTTAAAAATGCAGTGGAAAATCTCTCGCTGAGACAGGATGGGTTATAGTGTCTTTTAGCTAATCCCATCTTGTGTGGCTCTGAAGTTCCCTGTTTAGTTCACATAGACCAAAAGACTCATCTGTGTGACAGCTGTTCCACTTCTGTCCTGCGCTCACTGTTCAAAATCTCTGCAGCCATCAGCCCCAGCTCTGGCATGCTTTGCTGGCTTCCAGCACTGCCCAGGGCCCACCCTCAAGTGCAGTTGCTGCACTGCCTGGCTGCTGCCCTCTGCCAGCCCCAAATGAGAGAAAATCCTCTAATGCTCTTCAGCCTTCTTAAGCCAATGTGCGTCTTGTGCTGGGTGAACTGCTGTAGCTGCTCTGCTAAGGTCAGCTCTAATGAGGAAGCAGAGATGTCAGTACCTACCACCCCATGCCACAGTAATATATTAGTAATCCTTTTAATAGTGAGACGTGAATGATCGTTAATGCCAGTAAATGCCATTTTCTGGAATTCTGTGCAGTAGTGATGTTCTGTCATGTCCTACTCTTGGAGATCCCTGTGTTGTGTGTTCATGGTAGCCAGCCCTGGGACTGCAGTCACGTGCTTGACATAGGTACTGTACTTGCTTAAACACTTTGTAGAAGAGGTAAGACTGTTGTCACCCCCCTGGGAACAAGCAGCTTCTGATACTGTTTTATTTTTAATCCAATGATACCTCAAACTTGTAAGGTTGTTGCAGGCCCACTTCCTCATTCAGATGGAGGTGGCAGAATTCCTGCAGGAGCAGGGCAGCCTCTTCCCACATTTCTCATCATTCAGAGTGGGGTATTTTGTTTGAGCATTTGGGAATGCTGCCATAGAAGTTGACTGAATCCTTTCATAGGGTGGTGGTTGAAGCCTACCCTGTGAATAACAAACATGGTTCCATGAGGCCAACATGTTCCAGCAGAGCTGTGCCAGGATTCAAGAGACCCTGTAGTTTAGTTTACTAATGTTTTGGTGCTTCCTAAATGTTCGGATCAAAAAGCAAAAAGCAAAACCAAGCATGGGGAAAAAAAAAAAAATCAGGTTCAGGCTTCTATTTCAGCCTGTTCTTGTTCTTCTCTGTGCTCTGCCAAACCAGGTTTTTGTTAGGGTGGCAGATTAGCAAATGGAAGCAAGCCAAGGCCCCTGATCCATCAGTGTAGTACCTGTCTCTTACCAAAGAATATTCCAGATCAAAATTTCTTTAATTAAGTTAATTAAGTTGTTTCTGCCGCTGTTGGATCCTGTATTTTGATTTCTATGAATATACAGGTATCTAGAGTCTTGCAGCTCTGCTTTGCTTTTCTCCAGAAAGTGATGATTTTTTTTTTTTTTTTTTGGTGGATTTTTACACAGGGAGACTGAATAATTTCTTCGGGTCACAGACGGGTCTAGCCCTACCCGAGTCTGCCCAGTGTCTCAGAGACCCAGTTTGTCTGGTTAAGCAGAGTATGTTTATTGAAGACTAGACTGGTCCCTCATTTCTCTACCTGCAGGGTGGAGAAACGGTGTGTTCCAGCAGCACCATTGCACATCCCCTTATCCACTTGGTTACCCTTTGGCTCTCAGTCCATATGTCCACATAGGCTTTGCTGTCAGGCCCTTTCCTCAGAGCATGTGGCCCTCACAGCGTAGAAGTCTCCACCACTGGCCGTCCTTTCTCATTTCCACTTTCTGGGACAGGTTGGTTGTGAAAATCAATGAAGAGTTTGTGGATTAAAACACCAGCAAGACTTCCCAGAATCGGAGCTGTGACTGGGACCCACCACCAGTAATGTCCAGCCCTAAAATGAAACACAGAAGAGGCAGATGGTGAGCCAGACAAAGCGCTGCCCTGCCGCCGCATGGCACGGGGTGACGGGAGCTGAGTCTGCTGGGGCAGAGCTGTGTGAGCAGAGGTGTCTAGTCCCACTTCACGTACTGGGCCCTACAACTGGCTTAGACAAATTCTCTATTCACCGGCATAATTGCATTTTCCTTATCAGCCTGGGAAAGTGGCTCTGCGCTGTCTGCAGGTTTCTTGTTCTCCTACAGAAATAGTTTGTGTGATCCTGATGAGTGTGACTGTCAGACAGACAGACATGTGCACACACACACACACCCCTTTTCCCTCCCCATTTCCAATAACATCTGCACCTCCTCTACCAAGGTCTCAAAGATATTTTCTGAAAATTTAATGAAAATGAGCAGCTGGGACAGGAGACTCCGCTAATGCCCTCACCATGGGAAAAGCTATAGCATGGCACCATCTTACTAGGTAAGGGGAAGGCAGGGTTTCATCTCCAGATTCAGACATCTAAATTTAGGAGGGCTATACAGCAGTTCAGCTATAAGTACCTGCTTTCAGGTGAGCTGAATCGCTCTCTGGCTCTCCAGTCACTGCAATAACCAGCTAGATCTCCAGCTAACAGGTAGCCAATGTGGTGCCCAGATTGAGGTATCTGGATGTCAAGATGGATCCCATACTGGAGAATTAGTGTACCCCAGATTTTGTGTACATAATGCATGGGGCTCCTCTATGCACAGCCCTTGCTCTCGGAGAATGCACTCTGCAGTGATACCATCACGTAGTCCAAAGAAAAAAGCTTCATGACCGTTTATCTCAGGCTTATCTCCTCTCCTTGTGAGCTGAGCAATGTAAAAGCAAAATGGGTCACTCACGTGAAGACATCCATTCCCCAGCCAGCAATTGCCGTGAAGACCCTGGGGGGCAGGTCCCGGGAGGGGTTTATGGCATAGCCTGTGTTCATCCCCATCCCCAGGCCGATGCCCAGGACCAGGATACCCGTGAGCAGGGCCTGTGTGCCTTTCAGAGCTCCGTTGTTTTTCTCATCGTGGATGACCAGAATGCCCAGGAGCAGCATCACCGTTGCTGTAAACTGCAGGAGCAGGAAAGGGGGAACCGGTCAGGAGAGAGAATGGGGAAGGCAGAAGGATCCTGCTCGGCAGAGAGGAAGAATGGAAGAGCAGGTGGGATTCATGGTCTGATCAAGTCAGGGAGGGCCCCCATGTTATTCCCTCCTCACAGGTGGACTGAAGAAAAGTCTTGACTCATTTGCCAGCAAAAACGTCTCCACCTCATCACCAAAAATGCTCTAGGACTGATAAGAATTTCTCAGCACTGTCCTCTCCCTCCACCTTTCAAGTTAGGGACATGGGTTATTTTAAGTACATTTCGTCTAACAGAGGCAGAGCCATAACAAACTGCTAATGAGACAAATCTGATCCTCCCTAGAGGAAGCGATGTTTTATATAGCCTGTGGCATTAGCCCTTTCAGGATTAAAAGCAGATACCAGATTCTTGTCTGGGAAACTGAATCTCCCAATCTGTGACAGTACGTAGTTGGCAGATCTGCAGTGCCCAAGACGTCAGAAACTGTGGTTTGAATAGAGGTGATGACTCCTGTCTCTGCTTCAGAAAATGTGGCTGGAGAGCCTTGGACTGCTTACAGAGATGCCAGCAAACACAGAAATTCTGCACCTTTTGGCAACACATTGTTAGTGTCATTTGCTTTCTTGTGTAGCAGGGACACTCCATGCTCCACAGGAGGCTGAGTGATCAGGTCCCCACCTGTAGGCTCTCCAGCTCTCACCATCTTCCTCATCATGCCCAGGCAAGAGTTTTGTCAGCTCAGAGACAAAAGCACAGCCTTCCTCAGATTTGAACTGGAAGTGAATCTTCCTCCTCCAGTGTCCCAGTGCTCCACGTCCCCTGAAGCATCCCATTCCTATTTGTGGGCATCTGGGCATTGTGTAGCATGCTAGGAATCAAGTAGGATTCAAACCCTAGAGGTTCAACCCGGACAGGCTGTGTTCTTGTGAAGACAGTCCCAGGCCCTCTGTGCCAGTGAGGGGCAGCCAGCAGAGCTGCCTGGGAGTGCAGTGTGGGTGTAGGATCCAAAAAGGGGAGGAACAGTTCAGAGAACTCCCCAGAACCCAAAGGAGATAGTTCCTGAAAACAGCTCAGCTTCTCACTTCCCGCTGCTTGGGCTGCGTGCAGGGAAGGTGCCTGGAGGGTGCCCGGATCAAGGTGTGGAGCAGCCTGCAAGCGTTACCCTTTAGGCTTGCTCAGCCACCAAGGTGCCTTGGATCCTACCTATCAGGCACCTGCCTGGATGGTGGGCTCCTTGGAGTAGAGGTTGTGATTGTGTCTGCGTGTGTAGGTCCCCTGTAGCAGACCTGCACTGGCGCCTGTTACCACCCACCTTCTCCTAGCACACCACAGCAGTCCCTCCCCACTGACCTCTGTGAAGAAGCCCCCCAGCAAGGATACATAGGGAGCGGGGTACGTGGAGAAGATCGACGCCGTGGCGGTCGGTCCTGTCACTGTGAAGTTCCCCTTGGTGTAGTCATACAGAGCATCTAGGAGAAATGGGAATTACTGGAGTTAGCACAGAGTTCATCCCACATGGCATATACGCTAGTCCACCCATTGCAGCCAGCACGGACACTAAGGGCAAGAGCGGCCATGGGAGATACGATGGAGGTGACACACCCCTCACAGGCATGATCTCCGCGATATCTGTTACCTGCAGACTTTGCTCTGCAGTTGCTTCCTCACGCCTACCAGCTCCCTGTCCCTGCTCCAGGAGCCTGGGGCAGGCTGGACGCTCTGGATGTACTGGAAGCTTCCACCCCCCTGCCCCTCGGAGGCTGAGACATGCTGGAGCCAGCGGGTGGTGGGTCCTCTGCTCACAACTCAAAACCACAGATGACTGCTGTCCTGTTTTCCACAGCAGAGACCCCCAGAGCTCCAGCTGTACCTAATACATGGTAGTCCATCTAATTCAAGCCCTGCAGGCCCTGGAAACAAAACGTTCACAAAATACAGCTACCAGCCTTGAGCTGAGGATGGGTTTTGGCAGTGGGAATGCCCTGAGCAAAAGGACCTGAGTTCTCCAGGAACTGCACATCCTTCCCAGAGATGTCTGGGCCCTGCTCTGGCCTTGAGCTATGAAGGTCTGTCCCACAAGCCAGGAGCTCACCTTCCTCACCCAGACGTCATGCTGGCTACTGTAAAAGGACAAACTGTGAGTTAAGACCGAAATGGTGCCCACAGCAACCCCTGTGATAAAGACACAGCCATACCGTAGTAGAGGCCAAAGACAGTGGCTGCTGCTGTAAAGGAGCCCAGGAACTGGCCGATCACATAAGCTGGGAGCTTTCTCCAGGGGAGGTTTCCTAAAATGCAGTGTGTGAGGGTGATGGCAGCGTTCAGATGAGCTCCTGCAAAATCACAGCAAAAGAGCGTGGCCTCAGCCCTGGTGCAGGTGTTTTGCATGCCCCATGCCCTACAGTAACCACCCAGACCTTGCTCCAGAACACCAAGACTCTCCCAGGGCAGGGTCTCCCTCCTGCATGGAGTCAAAACTGACCTGTTTTCTCTGGGCAGCTGAACAATTCAGGGCAGAGGGCCCCTAGCTTTAGTCCTCTAAAAATTAGACAACCTCTGCTTCACTCTCTGTAGACCACAGGCTGCCTCGGTCGTCTCACCTGTCAGAGACACCTCTCTTGGCATGGCATGAGTTTCCCTCTATATCTGTTTCTCTCTATTCAGCTTAAAGGCAGCCCAGAACTTAGACTCACCACCTGCCTTTTATAGGGCTACAGGTAGATGAGGCCAATCTTATCCTAAACAATCACAAGGCCTTCTGAAAACATCTGATAGGCAAGGAGGGCCTCATCCTGGCAGAGCTGAGCACACCAGCTGACGGGAGCTGCGGGCCCTCAGCACATCTGACAGGCAGGGCACAAGGTGCTGGGGAAACAAACTGCAATATCAACCACTGATAGCCCATACCTTCATGTCTGCAAAGCAAATCCTACACAGGGCTGTTGGCAGCGACTCAGCGTAGCTCTTAAATGTCACTGCATTGAGAAGGGGTTACCAAGGGTCAATCCTGCCCAGACCACGGTTGTGCCCACTAGTGTGGAGCAGACCCTCTCCTTCCCTTGCAGAGTTTGTAATCTTGGACTGCATTTCCTTACATCTTTTAGTACGTGGCTTTCATACAGTGCAAGACCAGTTTTCCCTGTTTTGACGGGACACTTTCTGTGGACGAGGTTGGTATCACAGTGGTGCTTTTGGAGAAAGACTAAGTGGATCCAGGTTTGGTGCCCTCAATGCAAACCACATTTGTTCTTCAGGCCTCATCTCCCCAGGAGTCCAAAGGCAGTATTTGCTTTTTCCTGCCTAGTAGGTGTAAACTTTGGGGGTTAGTAAATGCTCCTACCTTAGTGGCCTTTTCTTCCTGCAGACTCAGAAAGGGTCCAAAGAGATCCAGACACACGTCATCTCATCAAAGTACAGGACATAGTGAAGTGACGGTGCATGTACTACCTGCTACAGTCCCACAATCACAACTGAAATGGAGGGAGACCCCTTCTTCAATCCTCTGATCCTTTGCAGGCATGACCAGCCATTTCACATACCACAAGAAACATCTTGTGACACAAATGAAGCCAAATCACAATGCCAAGAAGCCCTGAAGCTGGGTCCAGAGCCAGTCTGTTGCTGGCTGAGCTGAGACCCTTCCTCCCACCTCTGAGCCCTCAGCAGATCAGCTGCGTCTCAAATGTCAGCTGGGACTGCAGGAACCTACTTTCCTCAGCCCACTTTCCCCAGGATGTCTCCACCAGCTCCAAAAGGACAGGAAGACCAAGAGCTGACAGCTCACATGGAAAAATTTTCCTTTCCAAGCCAGCCCTAGCCTTGGACATCTCTCTGCTCCAACAGTTCAAGAGCAAGGACTTGCTTTAATTTTCTGCCCACTAAAGCCGTTAATCTCTTCTCTTGGTGCAAATGAATGCAGAAATTGCACAAGGCAAAGGTAATGCTCTGTCATGTGAGAGATACCACCCCATGGCCCTGAAACACCACCTTCTCAGTTCGCATGGGACGTGTGTGCATGGGTCTGGATGATAAGGAGAAAATTTGCATACCATTCCTTGTTGCAGCATCAGCAGTAAGCTCTCCTTTGCAATAAATGATTTACTTCCCCATGGGTCAGACTGACAGCGTGATTTCAGAGCTCCTTGTCTCCTTGGGCCATGATGGCATATCCAAAGCACCTAATGGAGGCACTGCTGAAACCTGGCTCTGCTGACCGCAATAGGAGGGGATGGCTGAACCTCCACCACTGTCCCTGTCCCACCTTCCCCTGTCTCAGCTCAGAGCACGTGTTTGGGGTCTGCATGCTGTATGCTGTGCCTGCCTTGTCCCCTGCTTCTCCTGACCTTGCAGTGCCATTGCGACTCCTTGGCTTGACCTCAGACCTGCCTCCCCCCTGCAGACTTGGCTGTGATCACTGGGTCACAAGGCTGACCATGGTTATGGTCACCAGACCTGCTCTGCTTTTCTTGCTTTGGGACTCTAGGACTGCCTTTTTTTCTGGTGAGGGTACTGCCCTGCCTTGCCATGCTATCACCCGCCCCTCCACAGCCCACTCCTTCTGCCTCCGACACGTGTGGCCTTTACAGGACATAGAGATGTCCTATGCTCAAGCATTCTGCTCACCAGAGATTCCTCCGGCCGCATGGATGCCCAAGGTAACACCAATGCCAAATGCCAAATTGATGCTCAGATGCTGCCCAAAGTCTCCTCCTCCTAATACGACTTGTGCCACAGAAGACAAGCCAAAGACCTGGTGCATGGAAAAAGAGAGAAAGGAGTGTTAAAAGGAGTGTTATTGCTGTGGTGGACTGAGCTTCTTGCTACTTCTTCTGCAATACTAATAAATGCTTTGGGAAGACTCTAAGGTGCCCATGGTCAGGAGATGAAGTGAGAATGACCCTCCTCTGCAAAAATTGAATGGCTAACTGGATTATTCCTCAGTGGTGACCATCACACCAAATCAGACACTCTGGTCTGGGTTGAGTACAAGGGAGACAAACCCCAGACACCCGCACCAAGGACGGAGGCTCGACTGGGATTACTCATACAGCCGCAGTAAGGATGTCTGCACCTGAAGCCAGGGACATGAGCCAGGGGAGCATCACTGCAGACCACCCAGCGGTGGCATCCAAGCCGAATGGAAGGAGGGTAGGCAAATTCTTGTTGCCTTTCTTTTCCTGGTGTTCAATTTATTGACTAAAAATGTAGTTTGGGCAGCACATAGCTATTTGCCAAACTCAGCTCTAATTTTGGTAACTTACTCTGGCAAAAAAACAAGGAAGGAAATTCTGGTTTGCCTTTTCCTTTCAACACATATACGTTCAGTTTGAAAACAGCCAAAGTTTCAATATTTTTTTAGTGACTAAAGGGGAACCAGAAAAAAAATATTAAAAGAAAACACTCTCCAGCAGGAAAAGACATATTCAAGAAATTGCTCTGGCCTGAAAGGAAATTCTATTTTACTTTTTTATTGTGGTCTGAGGGTGGAAAAATCAGTTCTTTGCACAGCTCCTACACTAAAATCTGCAGAAGGACAAAGCTTCTCTTGAGGTCTCTGCCTCACAGATCACTTAGGGCTTGGAGAGTGTATCCTGTTCCTTGGACTGCATCGATGTTTATCCAGGGTGACATGTCCCTCCAAGACAAGAAAGTCAGTATGTTCTCCAGCATCTAAACTTCTGCTCTGCCCTGTCCTGTTTTGACTCAGATCTTTACTAGCTGCTCTGCCTGGATCCAAATTTTATCTCATGTGTCTGCTCTCCCTCTTCCCTTTCAGGTATCACCAAAATCCCCTGTTCTCCAGAGACACTGTTCTTATCTCTCATGTATACAGACCACAGTCTGTGCTCTGCATGGGGCTACAGAATGCATGGTGTGAGCCCTTCTCTGTCTGCCTCAGCAAAAGCCCCAAGAAGCAGTCTGGGATGTCCCACAGCATCTGCAATGCCCTTATAAAAACTTTGCCTACTCATCTCTGGGATTGTCCAAAGCCACATCCAAGAGAAGCCAAATGCATAAAGCACAGCTTTTGCAGGACAGCATGCAGGTGTACAGAGAGGGGTGCAGGGCAGGAGACATGGCTGTTGCAGCTGAACAGCACTATCCTCAAAAAACACAGGACAGGCCAGAGAATCTGTTTTTCAGCACAGATCCAAACCTCTGGTCTCTTCCTCTATTCTCACAGTCCCAAAATAGCGGGTTTTTTTCTACCTTCCTACTCCTCGTGCTGTTCACTACCACTGTCTGGTTTCCTCCTTTATGAACATTGCCTGTTCATTAAAGCAAGAGGCCCTGGCTGAGTGCTATCATCCAAATAACAGCTATCCAGGCACCCCAGAGATGCATCCAGCACATTTCCAGTTGCCGTAAGGGCCAGGGGGCTCCTGAAGGGTTGGGTACTGGATGTTATGTTCAGATGCTGGATGCTGTTTGCAGCCAGCCCTTGATGGGAGTCCGTGTGCAGTGTCCCTCCTACTCTCTTCCCTCGTGGGGATCAGTGAGGGACGAGCCAATGTGAGCTGCAGGCTCCAAAATCTGCTTTGGACTGTCAGAGTGCAGAGAAGAGTCTCCTTCTCATGCTGCTTCCGAGACAGCTCTGGCAGGGCACCCCTGAACTCGATCTTTATCACCTGGAAACTTACACGACCAAAACACAAAGGTAATGGAAAATGGTTTGCTCGGCTCCTGCTGAGGAGTCACACATGTCTGTACTCTGACTTCCAATGCATGCAAAACCACCTGTGTAGCAAGGAGTGAACTTCAAGGAGCTGGATGTGCAATAAGAGGTGATAAAAAGCAAGCATCCTTTGCACATGCAGTTGTTACCTTTGAAAATACACCTTTCTCTGTACAGACAGCTGTGTCAAAAGGTCCCCGTGCTTACACAAATCTTATCTTCCTCCTGTGCAAATCTCCAAGTACAAGTTATTTGGATTATCCCCAGCCTTTCCATGCCAGCCTCGGTCCAGTCCAAAGCATCTCTCTCAGCCCACCAGTGCTTGCAAGCGAAGCCCAGGTGAAGTTGGGACAGACAGCTACTGGGCCTTTTCAGAGGGAGGATCTCATTTTGCTGTATTGGTCCACACATGAAGGTTCTGGTCCCAGTGGGCACCTCACCCCCACCAGGGATCAATTCTGACTGCAAAGCCTTCCTTGCCCTCTCCCCAAACACCTCTGAAGCAGCCCAAGAGCTCAAAACCACTTTGTTTTTTCTGTGTGAAACAAATCCCTCAGGCAAGGGGGGAGTTTCTGTATGATTTGGATAAGCACTATTCATTTGCCAGTGTAAGAAAACCAAAAGTGAAATCCTGGCATGCTTTACACCCAGTAATTATGTTTCCTAATGATGGGTTGCAGCTCCAGAGAGTTTCACAGGCATTCATTACCCTGGCAACCCCAAGAGGAAAATGGATGAATGCTGTTCTCATTTCACAGAGGCTGTCAGTGGTAGAGGAGTCGGAGCCTGCTTCCCAAACCTGTGCAGGACCCCTCAACCACACTATCACCTCTGGCACAGCAGGAAGAAAAGCCTCAATTTACTGCATGGGATCTTTCAGGGGGTTTGGCACAAGCATTGCGTTGCCTCATCTGACCAGACACTGCTCTTTGGTTTCATTCCTAGATTCTTCCTCATTTTTCTCCTAGAAGAGAACTGAAACAGCAGCTTATCCCCACGTGCTTCACCCTCTCCCAGCACCCACCTCCCACCCTCCGCATTGCTTTTTTCCTTCAGAAGGTTTTTGACAGATGGTCTACCCAATGGGAAGCTGCCGCCCCACCAGAGCAAGAGGTGAGCAGTAGCAACCAGCTGCTAAGCAACCTTGAGGATGTGGTAGGAAACCACTGACCTTATAAATTGCTGCTGCAAACACTTACCCTCTCACCCACCCTGCACACACACACTCATGCATGCACAGACTTGCCCATCTGGGCCCGTCTCTTCCTTACCATGAGGATGAACATCCCCAGCGCTTCTGCCAGCAGCTCCCTCATGGTGCCACTACGAATCGTGAGCGCCTTCTGAAACTTCTCCAGCATTTTGCTCTCCAGCTCCAGCCTGCAGCCACAGGAGCTCCTGTTGTGACAGCACACTTCATTGCGCTGAGATAAGTTGCCCTTTGAAACTTGGCACCCTCCCTTCATGCCCCAGACACCTTTATTCATTTAGTTAATGATGAACAAGCCAATAGAGTGGCAGCTAGCTTCAAAGTCTTCCCACACACACATGCCATCCTTTCAAAACTGTATGGTAAGGATGCAATACTTTTGCTACTGGGGCATTGGAAGCACTGTGCCTCTGCCCAGGAGCAGCCTAACTCCAGAGCAGTGGGGCTGTAAATAGCCTTGGTGTGCTCCTAAAACTTGTGTTTCTCCCTAACTTTTTCCACAGGAACTGAGCAGGAATTTTGGCTCTGCCCTGCACTGTAGCCCACTGGCTGGTGGTTTGGTGCCATTTTTTTTAACAGGTGGGGTTCAGACCATTTGCCTGTGCTTTGCACAGGATGCCCAGCCTGTGGTGAGGATGCTCTGCCTGGAGCTGGTGTGCATCGCTGTCTGCAGCTGGGAAGAGCGCAATGCCTTGAGCATTGCTTCAGGTTGAATATTTGCTCTTGCTGAATGTACCTGTGTCTGCAGCTCCCGTCACACTGCAGAGAGCATCCCTGCCACCACCCCGGTCTGTCCTCTCGTGTGGGGCAAGGAGAGACCAGTCTCAGCAGTGGTCCCCAGAGACTTTCAAGCTCATCTGGCTGCCAGAACAGAGCCCTCACTGTCCTGATTCCTTCTCCATCTCCTGATTTCCTCTGCTTATCTCCCTGCTCACCAAGAGCTCTTACACCTCTACTGTAAAAAGATTTTAATACCTTTACTTAATCACTGAAAAACTTAAACCCACTGAGCAGTCAAGACCTTTTTCTGCAAGCCTTGTCTGGCTCTTCGCTGGTTTTCTTTGCCTTGCTCTCAGCCTGCTGCAGCTACTCAGTGTGGCTCTGGAGGGGACATGGTGGCACAGCTCCGCAGAGGTTACCAGCAGCTGCCCCAGTGGAGACATAGCACTCTGCTCACGCTGCCCTTGGTATTGCCTCCCACTGCGCTGCTGTGTTGCAAAAGTTCATGAGTTTTCTTTCACCCACAGGACACTGAGCAGCTGTATGGAAGAACCCGGGAAGCCAATTTCTCCTGTCTGTTTACCATGTGTCAGAGAAGGGTTTTATGGACTGGAATAAGCCCTCCTCCAGCAGCAGATTAGCTATTGACCTCAGTGAACACCTTCCTAAGTATGCAGTAATCTACTAGTCTGTCTCTGATACTAAGGACCATCTAATTATGACATGATATTCACGCTGCTGGCAAGGGTGTTCCTACAGCACATTTCTAGGTGGGAAGTTTTTTGTCCTATGAGTCTGTAAGCCATGCTGTGGTACAGAAAAAGTGGCTGGTAAATCTTTCCAGGTCACTTCATTCTCTCCTATGCAAACGTTTATTGGTGGAGCACACAAAAATGGGCGTTGGAGCACCAGGTCAGGGTGGTGGCAAGAGCTTAGAGTTTCTTCTGGACATGGTAATTTCCAGCTGCCGTGTAAAGCTGAGGTCCTGGCATCAGCAGGTGTTGGAGATCTCACAGCCTTTCTCAGATGGATGAAGTGTGAGTGGGTCAGTATCCCCCACAACTGGACCTACAACTTCATTTTTCACTCCTAGATCTCAGGGAGCCTTCCAAGTGGATTCCTCCCCTGTGGGCAAACAAGAAAGCTGTTGTATCTCTGAAAGGTTTTGTCTCCTGCATTCAAGCAATTCAACCTCCATATTTTAATTTGGGCTGAAAAATGGACAGGCATTATCTGGGAACACTGGGCTCCCATGGACTTGCAGTCTTCCCAGGGAAAAAGGCAATCCCACTTTGCAATAGGAATCTTCGGTTTCGTGATATTATTTGCAGTATAATCCCCAATATTACCACCAAATTCCCTAAAACTTCAGCATACTTTTAGGATGGCATCATGTGCCTCTTGCTGCTGCTTGTCCTTTTACACAGATCATTCCACAAGATGGCACTGAGACATTAATTTCTCCCTTAAAAGTGTTCAGATGGGTTCCTCCATTGGCTGCTGAAAATGTGCGAACCCTAGGGTTCCTCTGGGCATTTTTATACATTAAAGAAAGGTGATCTGCCAATGTTCAAGGAGTGTAACAACAACAAGAAACACCTATCTGTGAGTCCTATAGGGCAGAGCACCACTGCCCTTACAGCACATGAGACCGAATGTGTAAGCCTGTGCCTGTCACCCTCCACTTTATAATCAGCAGAGAAAAGCAAGCAGCTCCAAAGGGCATCATCCCCACCTAAAATAAGCACCTGAGGCCAGACCTCTGAGTCACACGGCATGCTGGCATTTTCCCTCCAGTGTCTGCACCAGGACGTGGAGTGATCCGCTCCAGCGTGCACACCCACATGGAGGTATCTGCCATCCCATGAGCCGGACTGCCCTTCCTGCATCCAGATGTGGTGATCTTGAGCGAGTGCAAACAACCATGTGAGCCAAGGGCTGGTGCACAAAGATCTGCCAGCTGCCCAGCATGACCTGTTGTGCTGGTTTTGGCTGGGATAGAGTTAATTTTCTTCATAGTAGCTAGTATGGGGCTGTTTTGGATTTGTGCTGAAAACAGGGATGACAATGCAGGGATGTTTTAGTTACTGCTGAGCTCCTCACCCCACCCCACCAGCGAGCAGCCTGGGGGTGCACAAGAATTGGGAGGGGGCACAGTCGGGACAGCTGATCCCAACTGACCCAAGGGACATTCCATACCATATGACGTCATGCTCAGCATATAAAGCTGGGGGAAGAAGGAAGGGAGGACGTTCAGAGTGATGGCATTTGTCTTCCCAAGTAACCATTACACATGATGGAGCACCTGCCTGCCGATGGGAAGGAGTGAATGAATTCCTTGTTTTGCTTTGCTTGTGCATGTGGCTTTTGCTTTTCCTGTTGAACTGTCTTAATCACAGCCCACGAGTTTTCTCACTTTTACTGTTTTGATTCTCTCTCCCATCCCACCCAGGGGGAGTGAGCGAGCGGCTGTGTGCTGCTTAGCTGCTGGCTGGGGTTAAACCACAACGCCTGTTCATACTTGCGTGGTTTCACTTACCTGCAGGGCTGACAAGGATCTCTGTGGTCATCAAATACAGTCCCCTACTAGCGTAAGCAGCCACACCACATCCCACTCATGACCAGGCCAGTCTCCATTTTAGAAGTAAGTGCTTTTTGCCCCAGCTCCTCCTGCTGGAAGCCTGTTACCAAAACTTGCTGCTCTGGAGATTAGAGACTTTCTTCTAATTTCCAGCCAAATTCTCAAAGCCATTTATTCATGTGCCAGCATTACCCCATCACAGTCATGAGTTAACTCATTTGTTACAGATGCTATCCCATAAAATTTTCCTACACGTTTTTTCTTAGAAGAGTGTTAGCTGCTCGCACTTAGCTTTGCACCACCTCCTGATGTTTACCTTGACTTGCTCACAGGTTGAAACTTCACTCAACATTGACCCTACAATGTTTTCCACCACATATTAAGCAACCACCTGCTAAACCAAACCCATTTCTTCCCTAAGGCAGCTGCACTTTCAGCACTAGTAATAAAAGCCTCAGCTTGGAAAGTTCTGGCAGTCAAGGCCCACTAACTGTGCTAGTGTGGATACCTGTGGTACTGAAGAGCCAGGGGAATAAACCCCTTGGGAAGCATGAGTGCCCAGGGACTCCAGGGCAGTCGTGCTTCTGCAAGGAATAACTTCTCTCACTCAGTTTGGCAGTGCACATGTTTCCTCTGCACCCAGGAGCTCATTTATCTCTTAATTGCACTAATCAACAGCTGGAATGTCACCACTCCATTAGCTTCAGCCCTGCTGGTGGAGCATTAACTTCTCCCCAGAGGCTGAAAGGAGCATGAGGAGACAGCACAGCAGAGGAGCTCCTCACCGTGGATGAGGACAGTTTGCTCTGCCATCAGACCAAATGAACGTGGCACAGAGACATCTCCAGGCCCATTTAGGAAGCAGGGCCAGATCAGAGAGACCGGTACAACACTGGTACGACCGTAGGTGTCCAGGACAGACCCCGTTTGATATGCTCTAGAGCATCCTTACCCCATGGTCTCACATCTAATACTCATGGTCTATCTCCTCTTCTCCTTTACGGATGGCAGGCACTGAGTGAGTGGCAGACACCCCAGGTATTTTTCTCTCAGCAGATGGCTTTGCTCTCCATACCATCACCCAGCTCCCCATTCCCAGGACGCCAACCTCCCCGGCCTTTCCGTTGACCCTGCACATCATCGCCCCTTGCCCTGAAGCTGACCAAATGCGTACCACCTGCACCTGCTCCTTTCCAGTGGAACCACGCTGGCTCTTACCATACTGGGCAGAAGCGGGATCTGGAGGGACCGACAGAGGGATGTGGTGGCCAGATGGTGGGATCCTGCTCCAGTCTGTAGCCCTCTGCATCACTCCCCGAGGGCATGGTGCCTGCCTGCCCCCGACCGCTCAAGCTCGCTCAGCCGGAGGTAATCCACGAGGCAGTGGTGTCAGCAGGAGGGGAATTACATGGCTTTTGTTGGTCATTAGGGGGAAAGCAGGGCTGTCCAGCAAGTGGCTGCCTGGGGCGGCGCTGGCCCCATTGTTGGGCAACAGAGCAGAGTGTGCCTGGGCTCCCCCCGGCCGGGGACCGGCCCACCCCACGTTAGGCCACCGTCCCCTCCTGCCCTCTGTCTGCCTTTCCAGACAGAATTGGGTCATTTTTATACGCAGCAAAGCATGGTGTTTTTTGAGGCACCTCACTGGCTTCCACCTGGGCAAAGCAAGCCCTGGAAAGCCTCCCCCATGCATGGGTATAGGGCATTTAACAGAGAGAGAAACGGAGGCACAGGGGCACCTCAGGTCCCACAAAAGACTTGGGGTACCTATGGGATTTCCACCGAGATCCTGCCAGCTCCTCATCTGCTGTCATCCCCCATTTCCTGCCCCATCCCTGCCCCGTGAGCAATTTGTTCTCCTGACCTGCTCAGGGCTCGTCCCCCACCATACCCCTGTGTGTGGGAGCATCCCCCATCTGCACCGGGACCCTGCTGCAGGGCTCCCCCAGACCCAGGTAGACAGCAGCAGGTTTGGGGGTGAAAACACTCCCACCCAGCTTTGAGCTGCCTGCTCAGGTCTTCTTTCAATCCACAGATAAGGTGAAAGCCAGGAAAACCACAGGGCTCACAGGACATCATCACCCTGGAGATAAGAGGAACCAGGCTTTCTCCTGGAGGACTGTGAACACCCACGCTCTGAGAGATTAAAGGGGAAAAACTGCAGGCTGGGGGAGAGACGCTGGGTGGGCTCAATGAGGTCCTTAAGTTGCAGACTCTGATGGAGCCAGCATGCTGATCTGAACATTTCCCTACCTCTGACTGCACCCAATGGACAGCACAGCATGTCTGTGTCCTCCCCTCAGGATGCAACGAATTCACTGTTACAAATGGTGCCACCAAGAAAACCCCTTATGCTTCAATTCATGCCATCTCCTCTGCCTCATTCCTCCTCCAGACGCTTCACTCCAGGACAGTCTGCAGGACCCACCAACCCAGCATCCCCCTCAGCAGCACTAAAAAGGCACGAGCCTGTGTTAACAGACCCAAAGAGCAGAATCAGAGCAGTGGGCGATGACACGGACACAGCCATGCCTGCTCCCTCTGTGCTGCTAGAGCAAGGCTGAGCCAATAGTCAACACAGTCTTTCACTGTCAGCAGATGTTTGAGGGTGGGCTGCATCCATACAGGCCACTCTCGTAAGCAACACCTATAAACCCTTTAAGAGATTATGCTAGACCCATAGGCAGACCATCTTCACTGCTAGCTGTGATACAGATAGTTTGTGGGGTGAGGAACCAATTGGTGACACTAATCATTGCTCATATGTATCATCAGTGGATTGCACAAACCCCAGCTGTCAGTCAGACGACCGTGTTCTCTCATATCACACCTGCCACGGGGTGTCCAAAGACCATACAGTGGCTGGGATGACTCACACGGGTGGTGAGCAATGACTGCCACACGGGATTTGTCCTTGCTCTCTCCACAGGGGAGGGAAAGGCCAGGATGCAGGCAGCTGGGTCAGCTTTCTCAGAGCCAACTCACCCCTGCCCAGAGGGCTGCTGCTGGCGCGGACGTGAAGGCATCCGAAGGAAACCCCTGATAAGCTCCCGCTATCACAGCAGAGAGGAGATGCCACAGATTCTTCACAGACACATGTGCAAATCCCCTCGGAAGCTGCCCAGCCTCTCCCAGGGCTCCAAGGAGCCCAAGAGGCATTTCAGTGGGGGTGGAGATTTGCTCAAGCATGGCCCAGACCCTGTCACCCTCATGCTTCCCCAGACCCTTTGGCTTATCCTGTGCCATTTTGGGAGACAGGAAAGAGGGGCCCAGTATGGTGGATCTGGATGGCTCCCTGGTCATTCCCATCCTATCAGTTCCTATGTGAAAAGCCATTGACCCAGAGAAACCCACAGAAGCTGAAAACCCATCTGTTGGTGTTGCCTGACAAGAGGCAGTTTTCCTTGCTCATGTAATTTCCCAGCACAAGTCCTGCATGACAGAAGTGGCAACTTCACAAATCAACCCATATTAAGCAAAGCACCAACATGCAGCTTATTTCCCAAAGCACAGGGCACCACACATCAACCATCACTAGCAGTGCAGCTGTTCTAACCCATGGCAAATACTCAATATTGTCACTAGTCTTTATCGTGCCTATGTTAGTTTTTACACAGACACACAAACACACACATCCATATCAGCCATTTCCTAGTGCAGAAGTAACGGTTGCCTACCACCTTCTCAATTTTGCCTTCATAGGAACCTCCTCAGGGCCAAAATGTCAATTTATAATCTCATGAGAATGGCAGTCTGTCCCCTGCTCCCAATGTGAACCAGATAAAGTTCTCTGGAACCACGTCAGGGTGTATTTGCAGAGGATCTGATGCAATGGGCCTCTTATCACAACACAGCCTCCAGGCTGTGCCACAGGAGCAATACATACACAAATCACAACAGGTCTGTAAGGCTACGGATACAGATTTTTGCGCCTGAAATGTTCATGCACATGTCAAACTACAGCATTAGGCACAGCAAGTGCCTTGCTGGAGCTCTCGTCTACAGGAGCAGCCAGTCCAGTTGGTGGAATCTACCAGGAAATGTGTCACTTTGCTCACCTGGCTTTGCTCACCCTGAATCTACTGAACATAGAATCATAGAATCATAGAATGCTTTGGGTTGGAAGGGACCTTTAGAGGTCATCTAGCCCAACCCACTGCCATGAGCAGGGACATCTCTAACCACAGCAGGGTGCTCAGAGCCCCGTCCAACCTGGCCTGGGATGTTTCCAGGGATGGGGCCCCCACTACCTCTCTGGGCAACCTGTGCCAGTGCTTCACCACCCTCATTGTAATAAATTTCTTTCTTATGTCTAGTCTAAATCTATTCTTTAGTTTAAATCCATTATTCCTTGCTCTGTCACAACAGGCCTTGCTAAAAAGGTTCTCCCCATCCTTCCTGTAGGCCCCCTTTAAGTACTGGAAGGTTGCAATAAGGTCTCCCCGCAGCCTTCTCTTCTCCAGGCTGAACAACCCCAACTCTCTCAGCCTGGCCTCATAGGAGAGGGGCTCCAGCCCTCGGATCATTTTGGTGGCCCTCCTCTGGACCTGCTCCAGCAGGTCCATGTCCTTCTTGTGCTGAGGAACAATAAGCTCAAACTGCTTTTAATGCACTAGGGTATGTAGTTAATCTCTAGAAGTGCTTGACACAGGATGCTGCGAGTGCTAAAAAGGGATCTAAAATGGTTATATAAATCACGGAGGTAAAAATCCACCAATGGCTATTAAACACGGACACCCGTCTACCACAAGTGGTCTCTGAGCTGTGAGTTGTTGGAGATTCTAAAATATTTCTGGGGAAATACATTTATTCTGTTCGCACATTTTTCTCCCATCACATCTAGGATCTCCTCCATGGGTCCAACCCATCTCAGTGACCACTGCCTGGCTGACTGTGGTGTCCAGTGGAATAGGATATCCACCACTTCAGTCACAGGAACAGCAGCCTTTACTAGCATGTTCTTGAATTGCTCAGTTGTCTGGAGATGACATCAGGACATTTGAAATATATTCCCAGCTCTGCTGCTCACCAATGTTGAGTCCTGAGCAGCCGCTCCTCCTCCCTGCCCAGCTCCCCATCCACAGGGAGTGAACACAACGCCTCATTCAAAAGCAGTTTAGGGTGAGCAGAGGAGACACTTGCAACTGCTCACAGCATGCTGCATGATCCTTGCTAAAACACCTACCCCAGCTTAGTGCTGGAAGTGCCATCAGCTCCTGGGTCATCCTAAGTCATCCACCTCCTTGTTGCTCTCTCCTCCTCTGTGCAAAGCAGATAACGACCTCTCCCAGTCCCAGGACAGCCAAGGACATGCATATCCCAGCTTCCACTTCACCACTGGTGAGGTCAGTGGTCAGAATA